ATCATCATCATCAACGATAATTATCATCTCAAAACTAAGAAGTTTCGACACAGCATCGTGATTTGCATGTTCCACTTGGCTTCGCATAATGCCGAACTACACAACGCTCTTCTTAATACACTCTTTCTTTATGTAATATAAGGTCAAATGATGGCCGGTCTATAAATAATTAAGCACCGGTGAAATTTCTTTCTGCGACTTTTACAACCGGTCTTATCTAATTGGTGAGAGCTAAACGTTTTAATTATTCAACGCGTAAACGTTCCATTAATATAATGTGTTTGCTCGTAACAATTTTTTTATTCGAATATTAAGTAGTATTTCAAAATTGGATAAAAATATAACTATAACAAAATATATGAAAATAAATTGTTCAGAAAACTCATAACTAAGTATATATTTAAGTTTTCCAAGTAAGTTAGATTTGCGGTTAGGAGTATGAATACCATTTTAACTATAGTGTAGTAAATATAGCAGCTTAAGACACATTTCAGAATTGGATTAATAATGTAATTTTTACGAGCAAAAGTAGAGATTTGCATGTCTTGTTAATTAATTTCTTAATTGAGAATTGAAGTAAAATAATTTAACTAGGGCGGAAATACCTCGGTCGTTAGCCCTTTGGCCAGCCTATTAATATATATTTTTTTTTTACAAATAAATAAATTCTAATATAAAAAAAATTGGCTGGCCAAAGGGCTAACGATCGAGGTCTTTCTGCCCAATTATTAATAATTTAACTAATTTAATTCAATAAAGTCAAGAAATTTTGTGAATAAAATAATTTGCGTATCAATTTAGATGACTTAAGATATTCAATTATTTAAATTTACATTAAGAAGGAGGAATAAGAATGTTTGCGAGTTTCATCATGCGGACCTCTACTAATTGCGGTAGGTAGATATGAAACAAAGGACGTCGAGGATGTGGGCGTCTGGGGACCAGTTCTAAGCCAAATTTGGAAGTAGACCGGTTAGGAAAAGGAGGGACACGGGGATAATGGTTCAGTTATGCGGATTCGTGGGGGAGAAGAGGAAGGACGAAGAGAAGATTGAGGAGGAAGCAACAAGAAGCATCAGCAGCAGTAACAACAACAACAGCAGCAGCAGCAATAAGAAGTTGGCCCGCAACGTTTCGCAAAGTGAAACTCTCGAGGGGCCGTTACGCAACTGACCCCTACTGCGAGTTACGTGACACCTTCTGGATTGCGGCGCCGGTTCGAAACTCGGTCGCGGAATCTAACATTTACCACTTTGACCTTTCTTCAAAGGATGGAATCAAGAAGAGTGAAGAGCTAAGAAGAAGAAAAATAAAAGGAGAAGAGAAAAAAAGAAAGAGCCGCGGAGAAGAGAAGAGAAGTCAAAGAAGAATGAGAAGTACACCTAGCAGAGGAGCATGTAATAAGCAGATCGTGCATGATCACACAAACACACGCACGCACATGCACACACACTTTCATACATGCATACAAAGAAACATACCACGCAGTTTCACTTTCTCACCGAAAAACGAGCACGACCCGAAACCGAAGCCCTTATCAAATTTCTCGGAAGAGAAATTTCCTCTACTCTTCTAATTTGTGTAAGGATCTGAGTGACATTTGACCTGAGGCCTGCTCCTCCTTCTCCTCCTTCCTTCGTCGCGGCCTGCAGTGTGTCGTAAACGCGAAGGTCGCGACGCGGTTTATCGAAATTCCGTACAGAAATTGAAAGTCTCTCCTCTGCGTTTTTGCTCTTTGGATCGCCTGGGCGAGCCTTAATTAAATCTCGACGTGCTAATTGCCGCCAATCATCTTTCGCCAAGAACAACCGCCCCGAACTACTCAAGGTTCATCGAATTCCGAACCAGAGTTAAAATTGTACAACAACAAGTAAAGAAAGCAACTGTGAAAAGTCAAGATTCACTTTTTTCTATATACTATATAGTTTGTTCTGATCTGCTCAAGATTTAACGACTTCCAAACGAGAGTGAAACGTATATAATAACAGAATAATGAAAATAAGAAAATAAGCGCGTTTGAAGAAACAGAAAATATTTTGTATTGCTCGAATCTCGAAGGAAAACAAATATAAACGCTACTAGGATATGAAAAATTTATAATATTCTGAATATAATAAATATTTTTAATGCAGATTGTTTATTCAAAACAAATTTGATGCGTTGTTTGTAGCGAATAGTTATAACATAAATATTTTATTTAAACATATTTATTGTCGATAACCCTGACCGAGGTCTTTCCGCCCTATAACAGAAGCGATTTATGGAAACATGTTTATTGATGTAAAGCAAATGCCATAAGTTCAGCTGTACGAGGAAATGAAGTATTGAAAGATTCGCACAATACTTTTGTTTGCCGTTCAAATTTTTTAAGATATGACAACTAAAAATAAAAATTTCGTCTTGACATTTCGCGCGTCGTTACGTCAGCACGCATTATAGATTCAAGGTGATTTTCGAATAGGCAAAAGGAGTGGATGTCGGCTTCTTCTCTAATATTATTTCTTTTTTTCTCTTCCTCCGTGCTCTCTCTTTGAATTAAACGCATCTCTTTCTCTCGTCGATGCTAAAAACGTCGTGATTTTAGGCGCATCCGCGTCCATCGCTCAAATTCCTCTGATGTAATTATATAACATTTGATTTGACAGATTCTCAAATGTAACGATGGTATCGACAACATGCAGAGGCAATAAAATAGATATGTTTCTTACCCCGCTGGTGACTGGTATGATCGACAATCCTTCGCCGTTGACAATGCCGTTGTGGCATTCGGACTTCTTGACACAGAAGTAACCGTTCCCTTGGCACGGAACGCCGTTCTGTGACTTGGAATCTGCGAATTGGGTTTGTTTTTTAGAAAAGGTTATGCGCGATGGCTGAACGCCCAAGAAGCCCATACTGCCGTCGATGACTTCCCCGTTTCCTGGCCACGCAAACCCAAGGAAAAGCAGCATTACAAACGACGTTTCTATGGGCCGAAGGGGCGTTTTGATCGCAACTTACCGGCATGAATGCTGCCGCTGCTCGATAAACCGCCGTTGAAGAAGGGGTTGTTCGATAGATCCAAATTTCCGGGATGGCCGGAAGAGACTACCGTGGATTTATAATCGGATGCGGCTTGGCTTAATGGGCTGTCGTTGTTCGCCCACCAGAATTTCTGGGCCAGATTGTTGATGTCGCGGGCATTCTCGTTTACATTACCATTTGCATCCCCAAAAGTGGACGCCCCGCAACTCAGTAATATCCCCACTATGACTAGTGGTGACATTGTGAAGCCCAATCCTCACCTACAAACAAACAATACATATCATCAATTCAACCGTTTTTCTATATCAAAATCCAAATAAAAAACTACAAAACCAAAACCACACAACACTGATAATTAAGGTTAATCAGTTCACGTGTTAACTAAAACTAAATTAATGGTGTTACATAATAAAGGAACAGAAATATAGATATAGATTTTGTATACTTAACATAAGTTTACGTAGTATTTTTATGGATAAAATTGGAAATAATTATCAAGTTAATTTAGTTGAATAGTAAGTACTTATAATACAAAATAAACTTCCTATTATAGTCACAATAAAATAGGAATTTCGAAATTGAAATCCACGTTTAAAGAAATAGAGATTATAGATTGATTTATTGAGCGTCAATAAATATTCACACAAAAAAAAGCAAAACTACAGTTTATATAAAAATTTAGAATATCATAAAAATGTCTAATAATTTAAAAAAAAAGAAAGAAAACCCGTTTAGCGGTTCCTGTTCTAAACGCCCGTTTTTTCCTCTCCTCGCAAGATTAATGATCTTTAGCAGATACTGAACATCTTCTCCAGTCAGAAGAAAAACCGCTCATTAGACATTCTAATTGCTTCAAGTTCGTCGCATCTTCATCTCTCGCTCCTGTTCATTATTTCATGCTCTTTCTCATTCTTCAAATTATATAATTATCATCAAATGTCAGCGCACTTTCAAACACGGTACGAATTTCGGGGATGCCTGTAAAGTTCATTGCCAAATATTAAAATCGAAGCAGTTGCAGAGAAACAACAAAGTAGCAGAAATTAAATTAAATAAACACACGCGGAATGCTCGGATCCGCACGACGATCGTAAGAGAAGGAGAAGAGAGGATCGCGACCTTTAAATTCCTCATCGTCGTTCTTTCGCTATTTTTTTTATTTATCTTCACATATATTTATTTATAAAATTTAATTTCAAGTTGAGAAATTAAGATTAAAAGTGTAAGAGAGAAATTGGCGCTTGCAACGAAATGCTAAGTATTCAATTAGAGAGGCGGCGGCGCTCGTTGCCCAACTTCGGTGTAATTGATCGATGATTGCGCAACCCAAATGTCATCCGAAACTCAAACAACTCAATTCAAGATTACGTCTGGTAACAGAAACAAAATTTCAATGTGATTCTAACGAAAGCGTGACGATTACATATTAAATAATATCTCCTCGTCGATGCATATACGCTTTTTCGTTACGGCAACTTTCTTCTCCTCCGACAACCTCTAAAGTATGTTCACGATCTCGTCTCCTTCGCGCGTTGCATAATAATATGATTGTAAACCTTCGCTTCATAATTGAGTCTTTATTTATTTATGTAATGTCGAACGATCGCCGCGAGAAAGAAACGAATAAACCGACGTTTATCTAATTCGTGCTTCCAATTTGTTTTTTTTTTAACTCTTCCTAAGCGATAAGTGCCAACACAAACAACGTAAAAACCGAAAACGAAATTAAAATCACGAGTTTCCAAAAACAAAAAAAATTCAAACTTCATTTCGTATTTAAAGTATTAATTGCAGTTAACCTCAAGATCGGAATCGGATAAAGAGCGCGTACAATACAAATTGGTAGTCGGCAAAGTTATAATTAAATCACGATTAATTTTAATGGCGTTATTATACGGTAAACGCGATGAAGAAATAAAGAAGCGAGAAGAAAAAACGAAACACAAGTTGCAAAGTTAATTAGATTTCTGCATTAATAATAATCATCATCACCATTCGAATCGATAAATAAATATTGAGTTATCGGAGCTGCAATTAGCCGTAATCATAAACCCGAGATGCAACAAATACAATCGTTTCTTTTAAATGTCAACAGCGCGACATCACACAACAATAAGTTCTTGTATGTATGTTCTAACACTTAACCGGCGGTTTCTAATTACCATCGCAAATACCGCGTTTCGTTCGCAATTTTATATTACTTAATCTTCTGTTTGATTTTCAAATTTGCTTTTGTGAAAGATCTGCCGGTTTTTTTTTCTTGTTGTTGACACTTCGTTTGGATCATCAAAATTTAATTGCTAGGAAAACAATGCTATACTACCACTTGCGTAACACACCGGGAAACAATATGACAGGTGCATATATCTGAGAGTCTGTAATTGCTCGGGCTCCAATGTATGTTAATATTTTCTTCCTAATTAAATTACTCCTTAATGGCCTTCTTTAAAAAGCGATTAATTTACTTAACAAACATTTATTCAACTTGAATACATTTCTTTTCATGAACATCTTTCAATGTGATAGATGTCAATGTGATAGATGTCAATGTGACGTTTATCAAAATGTGTAAATCATTAGATACAAACTTGTCACTGATAAACAGTATATAATTAATAAAAAAAAATCCGTAATTGTCATTTTAAGAAAAACAAAGGGTACAAATTAATAAATTGGTCAACACTTAATTGAAAGTTTGTGACGATTATTTGGGAATAGAAAAACCCAATTTTTCTTTGCGATACGTCAGAAAATAAATCAGTTATTTTGTATTAATAAATTCTATAGTTATGTATTTATTATTCATTCGCAGTTTTTCATCTGCGGGAATGTTGATTCGTTAAATTCTAATGTAAATAATAAATTATAGTTCGATTAGCGGAAAGATGATGACAATGATTTGTCAAAAGGAAAAACCGAAATTTATATGCGAAAAAAAAAAACTACTTTTGAACCATTAATTGATGAATATTATTGAAATAAGAATATTAAGTTGATCGTTAAAAAAGGAATAAAATTAATGATTTTAGTCACAAATTATATCAATAAAATAAAGAAATTATTAAAAGGAAATTAATAGTTGTTTGTTGTGGTTGTTGCTTAATATTCATAATTTATAAGTATGAATTCCTAAAATATATAAATGAAAAACTGATTGTATGTTTAATGCATAAAGAATGTTTGTAATTTTGATAAACAAGGTTAATATAAGAAAAGTTAATCAATAGGTTTGTAATAATTTCAATGCTAAAGTAAAGAAAGAAAACATCCATCAGCAAGCAACAATATGTGTCCTATTTCTGTGAGCGATGATGTCAGAAATAGTAAATCCATTAAGCACCGTTTCATGATTAGCAAACTAAATAAATCAATAAAAACAACAAACACCGAAAAGTGCGTATTGATGTTTCTTTCCTAATGGAATTTCAATAAATATATTATTTTTGTAACATTGAACCGAAGATGTAGTCATCCGTCAATGACAAAATATTTCGATAAAACACAACGATTTCATGTATTTCTTCAAGAAAACACAAATGTCTGAGATATTCGGATAATATTTATTCAAACATACACTGATCGTCATTCGTATTTTTACAAATTTATCAAAAAACAAGACTTTTGCAAAGACCTTGATAGAAATAATTACTTTATAAATTAATCTTTGAAATCGTCTACGAAATAATATTTTGCTAAATTAATCTCTTTTTTCTGTCACGTGTATTTTTATAGATTTGTTTATAACTTAAATATATTTGAAATTGAATGAAAATTACGAGAAACTTCAACGTTAAATGAGAAAACGAACTTGCTCTAATATTTCTGTATGAGAAATGAAACCGTTTTACAAAATAATACTTCTCATTTTAAATTTAATAATACAATTTAAGACTTTCTTGTGTTTACGATGAAATAGTTTCTTTATTAATAATAAATAAATGTTGTTACACATTTTCGTGGGTTTGAATAATAAATAATAATGAGCGTTTCGCCATTCACGTTTTCCATAATGAGAGTCTGCAATGTTTTTGCAATCAACAGATTAATTAAACTTTATTCTAATATCACGTAGAAAACGGAGATTGTTTCCATTTTATATAACGAAGAAGAAAAAAAAACTTTGTTAGTGTCTTGATATTAATATTATGCAAATGTTGATTTGATGCACTGCATTTATGGTAATTGTTGAATATTCAAGATATAAGAGCAAAAAAAAAACTACTGTTATAGAACTTTCATAAATTTGCGTTAGAAACGTTGGAAACAACATTATAATTTTGAAACAATTTAACTGTTATAAAGATTTCAAACTACATAAGAAAATAAATCTGTCACAATTCCGTTTTATGAATTTTTTGTTCTCATTTTTTCGTTAAAATGATCGAGGAATTTCAACGTTACATAAGGAAACGAACCTGTTCCAATATTTCCGTTTTATTATGTTCTCATTTTAATGAAAAAACAAACGAGATTTTGTTATACAAAAAAATAAATAAAAATAAAATTGAATAAAAATTTAGAAAATTTTTTCCTTTTTTACAAATGAAAGTTAAAAATAATTGAAATTGAATAAAAATTTCGAGAAACTTCAACGTTACATGAGAAAACGAACCTGCTCTAATATTTCCGTTTTATAAACTCAAATTGGGTCGATAAATTGACAGAAATTGGGCTGAGATCATTTTAAAAGAAAATAAAAAGATTGTTACGTATGAAATATGGTATTTCTATAAGTTCTCGTTAAGATCATAATGGAAAGAATCAATTATTTATGTAAGAAATACGGTTAGTTTCTCACGTTTGCAGTTGAAAGGGCATGACCGTGGAATGTAAACATGGAAATGTAAATACAAAATAATAAAGGTGTTCTCGCCACTCGCGCGGTGAAAAGAAGTCGAAGATGGACCGAAAATGAAATACACTTTCGATTTTACGTGGATGTAAAAGAGCACATTACATCTCACGCAACGAAAATTAACACTTTCCCTTTCTTATCAAACAAAATAAATAACAAACACGTAATGCAAATGAAGCTAAAAGCAATTTACCAAATTTATTAACCAATAAAACAAAAATCAGGATTCATTATAATTAGTATCATTATCTGATTGTAATATAATTTGTGAGTTTTATAATAATGCTATGAATGATTTGTATCAAGAAAATAATCATCCATTCGAATTGCTTAACTTTTATTTTTGTAAATTGTTTAAAATCAACCCACGCTAACAAACATTTATT